CGCAATCAGCCTATGATGAAATGAAAGCAGACAGTATCGTGATAAGGTTCAGTGATCTATACTGTATGTTTGTCAGTACATCATTATAATTTTATATTGCTGGACTATTCGGGTAGCACAGTGTTGAGGAAAGTGCATTGGATTTGGGGCCAGGAAAATTGGGTGCTAGATACTCTCTAGCTCTATCAGGTAATAGTTGTGTGACTCTTGAAGAAGTCACTTAATGCTCTAAGATTCGGTTTCTCCAACTCTAATGTGTGAGAGAGGCAGGGCTTGTTCTACTCTCTTCTTGGTGCTATTCAGAGGGTCAAATGAGGTAATGGCTCTTAAAGCTCTCTATTATCTATAAAGTCGCAGCCACAGTGGGCCACAGTGTTCTTATAAAATTCAGTGTTTAGACAGGATTGAAGTTGTGGGCCCTCCTTCCCCAGAGGTCTTTAAACCTAGAGCATCTTCTAGTCCATATGGCTTTGCCACAGGCTCTCTAAGGGTAGGGAGAATAAAGCAGATCACTTCAAAATGTCATTCTGCCCCAGGATCCTTAGCACTGCTGATTCCCTCAGGTTACTGTGTCATAATAGAACAGTCAATGTGATGAAGGTTGTTTCCTTCTTTTCTAATTTTTGGACAGTTTTCCCTTCAAATGGAATCAAATGAGACACATAGGGCAGGACACTGGGATGTGAGCAAACCCCTGCTCATGGTTTGACTTTTCCCTAAAACATGTTTTTAGTCCTGTTTTTTTTAATGTAAGTTAACTTCTTTGGCCCAGCTTCATGTTGTTTCCCTGTTTGTTGAAAGGCACTGGAGATATTTATGTCTTGGGTAGAACGATTCCCTAGAGGACAAAGCTCATTGATTTGTGATCACATCAGGCATTGGGCAGATTCTTTCCTTTGTGGATGACAGATGCCACAAAGGTTCTCTTTGACTTTCCAGAATGGGAACTATTATTGTCTTGGGTGTAAATGGTCAGTTTTCCTTCCAGAAAGGTGAGAAACCAGGGAACAGGACAGAGGATGGATTTGCAGATGGAGATTTTCTGGAGAAAAACTAACCCAATATTACTGCCACATCCTCTTATAGCACATCCTCTTTGTGTGGCCTTTTCGTGGCCTGAAGAAGCTACTTGGCTGTTGACCATAGACTCCAAAAATGAAGTGGGAGTGGGGGAAGGAGAATGGAAGAGAATAAACGAAATTTAGAGTTCAATGGGAAGCAGAACTCTTTTAGCTCACCCGCCCACTGAGTGAGAATCGTGGGGCCCATCTGGGTTGGCCATGGCCACTCACTCTCTGAGTAATAGGCTACCTCCTAACAACCCTGTCCTCAGTCAAGCCAGACGAGCCTTTGGAAAATGAGTTCTTTTTGTGGTAAAATCTTTCTCTTTTAAATTGCACTCCCTGGTTTGCTGTCACTTTAGAGGATTCTAGGCTAAATCTATTTTCTTTCACTTCACAGTCCTTGAAGTATCTGAAGAAAGTCCTCATGACTTGCCTTCCTTTTCCTCTCTAAATGAAATCTCCCTGTTACCTTCAGCCATTCCTTACAGAACATGTATTCTAGACATAGAACCCCGTCCTCTTGTACACATTGCAGTTTTCGAAGCTTCCCTTCTCCTATCCTATAGGGTATAGGGCACCCACCTTTTGTCTGATTCCAAGAATGGGAACTATTTCTCACATAGAGAGTTGAGACTCGAGTGGTGGGTCTTATGATTGGCTCACTTACTGAAATGACAAACAGGAGCCTTCATTTGTGGACTCGGATGCCCAGACTGTGCCTGATTAGTGGCCCTAGGGAGGCTTCGTGTGCGATGCTTGACATTCTTGAGCCCCGAGATCTCATGAAGATGCCTTTCCAGAGATTTCAAATATACCCAGCCCTGCTGACAACTCCAAGAGAATAAGAATTACCCCCTTGTTCTCAACCAGTCATAAAGGTTTGCTGGCATCTCTCTACTCCTGAAACGCCAGGCCAAAATGTCTAACTGGTGGCTTGAATGGCACACTGACTTGCTCTATCTCCTTTTTCTGGTTCCTCCAGACAAGAGCAATTACAGGTTCCTCAGCTCCCAGAGCTTTCCATCCTCTTCTGAGCTAATATGGCTCCAGGCTGCAGCGAGGAACTAGCAGACACAGAACACAGAATCTGGCCCCAGAGGCTTATAAAACAGAGAAGGAGACACCAAAAGCTGAAATCACTTCCTTGCATTTCCTTTCATCCTTTCCTGCAGAGTCTGCTTCACCACAACCACACCCTTCCTGTGAGACCCCCCATCTCAGAACCACCGAGGGCTCCTGCACGCATTCGTAGTTACTGAGCAGAGCTTTGGGGGTGCTGAATGTATGCATAACAGCCTCTGCTGGTGGCTTACAGTACAAGATGGCGCAGCACAGGGTCTGAGCCACGGGTGTCTAGAACGGGAGAGGTGTCACATTAGTGGTAGTTTACAGGAGAGAAACAGGCTTAGAGAACTAAGTGAAGGGCTCAAAGCTCCACAGTGAAGTAAGGGCAGGATTAGGGCTGGAATTCAGTTCTCCTGACTTCCAATCCAAAACTTTCTTTAAGATGATATATGTATCATCATATGTGCCTGTCTGTATTTCTACTTATATACATATGCGTATGCATGGGTGTGTGAAATTTTTATTTGTAGAAAGCTGTATTTCACCCACATGCTCTAATTTGATTCTCATAATCACCCCGTCTGACAGGTAAGGGAGCCGAGGTCTGTCCACATGAGTAAATGGAAGCAACTGGATTGATAGGCAGGCCTTCTGATTCTGGCTCCCTCTTCTTCTGATTGTATAACATTGTTATTTGATCTCAGTGGCCATTACCAAATCCCTCTTCAGGACCCCTGTGGAATGAAATTCTCTTTTTCCCTGTCCCTCTCCGACATTCTCAACAAAACCATAACACAACTTCTCGCTGTGATGGTGACAAGGTGAGGTACAAGACAGCGGAATTGGAACATCTAGCATATGAGTAGCCAGTGCGAGTTACCGCAGTCACTCTGACGGACAGCTAGAGGCAGGGGCGTAGAGTGGAGTAAACAGTGTTGGAGGCCCATGCCCTTGGTTGGTAGGGGAACAAACTCATAAAATGATGCTACCCTCTGACTACATCCCCTCCTGTTTCATGGTTTTGCATTTATACCATTTTTATTATAATCTTAACAAGTGTCTTAGCAACGCATTATCTTAAAAATGCGAGAAGACTCTGCTTTGGAAGAACATCTTAGAGATGTTAGAAAGAAAGCAATTGTTTCCCTCTTCCTCCCCAGCCAGCTAGAGTCCCAAGTTGAGGAAAAGGAAGGCAATGGGTATTTACTGCACACCTCCTACGTGGCAGGAACTTTACTTGGATTACCTTGTTTACTCCTCTCCCCATGAGATGAAGCAACTGAGACTGTATTATAGAGATTATGTAATTTGCTTCCCTAAGCAAAGTGCCACAGGCAGCAAGTGGCCCATTAGACTAAGGCATTTGGCCAGTTCCTTCCACACAGTACACATGGTCTTCCCAACATTGGGGAGGCTCAGCTCCTAATCTCTGGCTCCAGAGGACCCTGAACGATCACAGTCACTGCTTGAAGTGTCAGCCCTTCTGCCAGAAATGACTTTTCAGGTCACTAGTGAATGGCAGTGGGAAACTTAAACATACTCATGATCCTCAGAAAATCAGACCCAGGATGAGAACTTTAAAGCTGGAAGGGACCCTACCAAATGTAAAGCAACTCGTGAATTTTGCAGATGAGAACACTGAGGCCAAGGGATTAGGATTGAAGGATCTACCCAGGTCAAACGATTATTTAGTGAAGCTGGGACCAGAACTGGTTCTCCTGCCTAGGATAAAGACCAGGAATTCAGCACACTAGTCATGAATGACTGGTAAATAGAGATGGGATAAAATACTCAAGAGAGTCTCCCAATACAGGTAGGATTGAGGGGAAAGAAAAGTACATGTAGCCAGAGAAAAAAGCCAGTATGTGAACCAAGACTGAAAATACAGATCTAGGGTGGGCTAAAGAGACTCTCAGTAAGTGACTTCCCAGATTGTGTTTTGTTCCCATTGCGCATACAGTTGGAAGCCAAATGCAAGCCACCAAGGTTGCTGTGAAACAGCGAACAATTATAGCGCAAATAGTTGTGGGCAGCTGTGGGAGTGCAAGCCACCTGCTCCAAGTTTACAGCTTTGTTAAACTTGGTAAACATTAAAAATGGAATAGGAATGCTCCCAGTCTGTACAGTGTCCCATACCCTTCCTGGGAGGCCTTACTCGGGGAGCTGACCAGGCTCTTCTCCCTGTGGCCTAGAGCTGCTTTCTCTTGGTAGAGGTCAGTGTTGTCAACAGTCTCTGGTAGAGACCGAGGGAGGTACGGAGTATCACAGAATCATATATTTATAGAGTTTGAGGGAATCACAGAGCCCCCAGAATATAATGTCTCTTCTAATGTTCAGATAAGGAAACTTGAGATCCAAGAGGTGATGTGTCCAAAGTTATAAATTTAGGGGCAGAATAGACTCTTGATCTCTGAACTTTGAACCCTTTGTCCCCATGAGGTTCGTAGATGCTGACAAACAGGGAGTTATAGCATTACAGAATGTTACAGCTGAAAGGGGCATGGCTCTCAACCCCCAGGGTTTTCGGTTGTCACATGACTAGGGGGTGCTATTGGCATTTAGTGGGCAGGGACCCAGGATGCGAATAAGTAGCTTGAAATGAGATCATTCTTCGTAATGAATTGTCTTGCCCAGATGCCAAAAATGCCCTTGTTGAGAAATATTTTGTCTACCATTTGACTTTACAGTTGAGGAATCTAAGCCTAGAACCGGGCCGGGCTTGACAAGGATCCCAAAGGAAGTCAGCAGTCCCCTGACTCCATCCCACTGAGCCCCCTGAGTGAATTAGCAGCAGGAAAGGGACAGCTTAGATCCTTCCCTTCCCAGCTCCTGCTGCAATTGCTCTTAAGCTATTTCTTGGTCTGCACTTACTTGGACTTGAGGCCCTCCTGTCCATAGGGCTGCAGCAGATACTGGTGCACGAGCTTATCCCTGAGAGTCCCAGCCAGTTTGATTTTCTTTCTTGACCGGTGCAGGTTGATGATAAAAAGTGTAATGGACCCTCGAACATAGTTGTGGCTGAGATGGGGAAGGAGAAGGGTAAGATGGAAATAAAGTGGTCAGTTAGGTGCTGCTAAATAATTTATAGACTGCACCAAACAGGACTGCCCCAGGAAAGGGCACTTATTTTATGATTCTTGGCCACCCCTGACCTTCAAAGACAGGAAGGCCTTGTTATTGTTTGTGGTTTCTTGCAGAGAAGATACCCACTTCCTACCACACTCCTTTTGTTTTTGTTTAAATGTATCACAATGATTTTAGAAAACAAAATATCTTTTTCTGAGTGTGAAAATAAAACATGCTGACTGCAGGGGGAGAAAAAGGAAAAATACGGAGAAATACAAAGAAGAAAAAGAAAATTCTCCCATAATCCAAGTATCTTGAGATATGATAAAATTTTGGTAAACATCCTTCCAGTATTTTTTATTAATTCAATATTAATTCAAATATTTACTGAGTACTTTGACACATACATATATATTTCTCAGTTTTCATCTAATTGGGACCACATTGTTTTTTCAGTTCGTGAACATCTTAAACATATTTTCATCTTATTATGTTATTGTATTTTCTTCTACTTACAGAAGAATGCTAAATTCTTTAATTATAGAAATGTAACATAATTTATTTAGTTAACCCCCTACCTTTGGAGACTTACATTTTTTCAAAATTTGCCATAACAAAATTACCTAATGCTATTATATAAACTATTTGCATGTCACCATTATTTCTGATAAAGTCCTGAAAGTTGGACACATTAGGTCTAGGGGAAGGCATATGGCATGATTCCTAACCAAATCTTCTGGTTCATTCCCGGTGATGCCCTTCCCTGTGGGAAGATTTTCTGTCCTTGCTATGTTGAACCCTAGGGATCACACGATTGGTTTTGGCCAGTGAAATGTGGGTGGACATGTTAAAATCTCTGTGCAGAAGTTTTAAGAGGCAGCCTGTGTTTTGCCATGTCTCTTTTCCCTGTGCCGGAAGACCAACAATGTTCTTGACAGAGGTTACTCTATTGACCTGCATCCTGGAACGAAGATGATTTGGAGCAGAGCTACAGCTGAGCCATGACAGATAAGTGGTATGCATGAGAAATACACTTTCTTATCGAAAGCCATGGAGATTTGTTGGTCCTCCATTATCACGGCATGACCCCACCTACCCTGACTGATACCCACATTTTGCTAACACTGATGTTAACTGCCTAGAGAGCTTGTACCAATTTGCTCTGTTCAGCTATCTATAAGAGCGCCCATTTCCTCATACCCTTAAGAATAACGGATATTAACCTTTTAAAATACCTTTATCAACCTGAGAGTTGATAGTGGGATTTCGATGTTGTATTAAATTGTATTTTTAAAAAAATTCATGCTGAGGTGCAGCACTGTTTTCATTTGCCTGTTTGCCATTTCATCTCTTCTTTTGTAAAGTGACTATTCATGTCCTTGGCCCGTTTTCTTATTGATTTATAAAAACTATTTATTAAAGGTAGTGATCCTTTGTCTGCATGTATGTTGCAAAATTTCCCCCAGGTTTCTTTGACCAATTCGGTTTGTTTACATTGTATTCTGATGTATAAAAGTTAAAAACTCTTAGGTAGTCAAATTTATTGATCTTTTTTATTTCTGCTTTTGCTGTTTTACCTACACCAAGATTATAAAACTATTCACATTTTGGAATCCTTTTAAACCAGCACAGGATGTTCAGAAGCCTGGAAGAACTATATGCCTACATGCAAGAGCCTTTCAGCATGTATCAACAAAACCATAATGATTTCCTTCTTTCTTGTAGGAAAAAAGACTTTGTTTCTAAGGGGTCCCCTAGGGCCCCATCTGGATAGGTTAATGAGAGGAAACAGAAGAAATGACCCAGTCCTGCCTTCAAAGGAGGAGTTCAGAGAAACTCTAAGTCAACTTTGCCCAGAGGAAAATATCATTCCTTGCAGAAACAGCATCCCTTAGCCTCTGGGTCACTCACCTCTGCTTCTAAGGGTGTTAATTAAGAGTTGAGTGACTAAGGGCAGGTCAACATGATAACTTGGGTTGTTTTGCTTTTTAATAAAACGGTTGCTAGGACTCATCCTGAAGATTTTGATCCCATCCGTTTGTGATGGGGGATAGGAATGTGTGTGTGTGTGTGTGTGTCTGTAAATCTTTCCAGGATATTTGGCAGATGAGTTGGGTTTGGAAACCACTTGCCTAGAGCAATCCATTAGGGTTAGGAGAATTCCCAAAGTATATTCCATTGACTGTGTGTCAGATAATTTTTCTTGCATCTGTAGGAGGGCACATTATTACGTTCAAAGGCTTTCTGAATGCCTGCATTGATATTCTGATAAATTATTATATGACTTTTCTCTCTGGTTCCTCCTCCTCTGGTCCTTCTTGATCTTCTGAAGCACGTGAAGTAGTTTTTGGAGCCAGCTGAGTTAGGTCAGAAGAGAATGCCCATTTACTGAGCAGACTTGTGTCACCAGAGCTCAGAAGAAAGATGCCACTAGCCTGTATCAGCATTTACTGTCATTAAAAGAACACCAACTATATTCCATTGGTGGGCTTTAAGCTTAGCTTTGCTGAGGAAATTGAGCAAAACACCATTAACTACAGGTACTCTGGGCTTCAGTGTGAGCAAAAGTAGGCATGCATGGGTACCAGTTTTGCCAGACTGTGGTAAACTCTTTTGCTAACTACCATCAGATAACCTTCTCGTAGGCCAGCAGTGGAGGAGAGAGAGCCTCGTGCTTGCATTTACGAGTTTTTCCTCTGCAGAGCTGGGGCAGAACTAGCCCTGGGAGACTGCAGAGGAGAAGGGTAGGATGTGGGGAAGTGGTGGGTGGGAGGGAGACCTGAAATCACAGCATTGCTGCAGGGAAAGCTGTCTTTTCAAGCTGCTTGGCAATGGTCTGATTTCCACTTAACATAGTTCCCCTGGGGGAGACAAACCGGTACTGAAAGCCAGCTCAGAGACCCATGTGCAGAGGCTCTCACAGAATTCATGGAGCCTCCTCAGGTAGGAACTGGCATTGAAGACTGCCTCAGCCGTCCCTTCTCCTGCTTGGCTGAGGGGCAAGGATATTAAGCAGAGGTCATTTGGCTGCAAAGTTACAGTCTTGGCTGGGGAGTGTAGCACCAACCTAAAAGTACGGTGTCAAAGATCCAGATTTCTGAAGAATATATATTCTCTGCCCACAAAAAAATAATCTTGGAGGAGTATCTGTTGCCTAAGAAGATGGGTCTGACTGAAAGCATGGCTAACAGGCAATCACTCATCTTCTGATGTCAAGTCCAGGTGGATTTTGGTTCTCTTAGCAAATGTCCCTTTCTGTCTGGTAAAACATCTATCTTACTCCATGTTTCACTCATGGTGAGGCTTCTTCCCCAGTAGAGAATCCAGGCATCTGGAGTTCATCTTTCTTGCTGTTCTTTTGCTGCCTGACATCTTCTCTGTGATGCCATGGGGGTAGGAGGAAGTAAGTCAGGGAAGGGAGGCTCCAAGTGGAGTATCCTGGATGTATGAGGTGGGGGACATCATATGTTTTATCTTGACTTCCAGATAAAAAAACAGTCACTGTTCTAGAAATGTCTCCAGTGAAGCTGGGAGACAAGGAAAGGGAATAGAAGATGGTGCTTTGGAATCCATGGTCATTTCCAGTGAAAGTCCATGTGTTTGAGAACTGGGTTGGTCCATTGTCCCCAGATCTAACTCAAAGTTTTTGGGTTCGGTAAAAGTCAGGCCATGTTTTGCCAAACATTTTTTCCCCTAATTTCAAAGCCCCTGTGTATTTTAAGGGAAATTTAATCCACATGTTTCTGATTCATTTACACTTAACTCATCAAAATATTGTTTTGTAAGAGTCATTTGATGTCCAAGAAGCCTCAGGAACCTTTTTTATGAGCCTTTAAAAAAATTTCTTCTAAAAAACAGGAAGTCATGTTTTGCCAATAATAAACAAACTTGAACCCCAAAAGGCTCAGTTTTGCTTCAGTATCCACCAGGTTCCAATTGGTTCTGAACTTGGCTAAGGACCTCAGCTCCTCCCTAGAAACATACATTGTTTCAGCAGAATAGTTTATAAAGACCAAGTTTCCCAGTCAAAACATATTTGTTCTCTGAATAAAAAGATCTGAGGTAAGAACTGCCATGCTGCCCGGCTCCTGACTTGTTGACTCTAACACAGAAGGCAGCAGAGCACCTGCTGGTGTTCGTTTGCATTTCGAACTTTTGATCCTAAATCAATCATAAAACACAACACTCTCCTCGGTCAGAAACAAACCACAATGTAAGAGAGTGCCATGAAAGGCAGCGAGGTATTCAAATAGAGGTTGCATAACTGCCAAGGAGATTGTAAAAGGAAATTCTGTTGTATTGGACATTGGGCCAAAAGATCTCTAAGGGTTCTTCCCAAGTGTAAAAATCTTTGCATTATTAATGTTGTTATTATTTGCATATAGGGGTGATACCATAAAGCTTTTGGAATTCAATATGATAATATAAGTGCAGATATCTGGCAAGATGCTTGGCACACAGCAAGTGCTCAATATACACTGGAGTGCAGGAGTTGTTTCAATAGACAGTCTCTCTGGGTCGTTCTACTGGTAAGTTTATACTTTCTCACCCAATCCCTGCTTTGACCAAGGATATATATTTTCAGAGTATTGGTCAAGAGTGAACAGTGTGAAGCCAACATGCCCACTCTGGGACATTTCTGTGACCTTGAGCTTGTTGACCATGAATAAACTAAGTGAATCAGTAGTGCTTCCTCATGACTGTTGTGAATCATGAGGGGGTGCAGACAGGGCACACAGCTTCCCGGGGAGAAGGAGAAGAGACTCTTGTCCTATTTTTGTGCCTGCCTATTTGGGGCACCTGACACCCACAGATGTGGAGGAGACTGGCATCCCCAGCCAGCTCAGTGCATCTGTTGCGGGCTTACTTTTCTAATAGGAACAAAAAGACCTTCCCCTCTGTTATTATCATTACGGCCATATGTGCAAGAGATCAGTCAAGTCTTGTCTTCCTGTCAGTAGACAGAATCGCAGTGGCACCGTTTCCCCAGAGAGGTTCTGAAGGGAATTCCCACAGAAAGCAGAGAGCTGGTGATCAGAGAGCATATTAAATCCAGATGATTTTGGTTAACTTGTTTGAGCTCTCCTGCTAGGAAATGGTAGAATTCTTAGCCATTCTACCACAACACCTCCTTCTGGGTGATTGCTGATATCAAAGGGGAAGAGACCGGGAGCTGTAAATCATCTGTGAGGTCTTGATGTCCTATTTCTGCATCCATCCATCCATCCATCCATCCATCCATCCATCCATCCATCCAACATTTGCTGAGATCTTCATGCCAGTCACCGTATTAGACACCGAGAATACAAAAATGAATGAGACATCGGCCCTGAGTTCATGGTATGTTCAGAATATTAGTGACAACTCCCCACAAGCATGTCAAAGAATGTGAGGATGAGCAATGGGATGAGACTATGTGAGGAGCCCTCTGTGAGGACACCCAAATCCTGCTAAGCCCGTGGCTACTGACATTTTCCCCCTGCTTCCTCAGACCGATAGTATAAAGGGCACAACTGATGTGCCTCCCAACAGAGACAAAAGGTGCCAAGGGTAGTATTTCTTTCTTGAAGCTGGGGGTCCTCCTTTTGAGTGGTTACCTCAAGGCCAGGGGGGAGACAAGGAGTACAATGTATCCTTGTGTGGTGATCAGATAACTCCAGCCAAAGCCATAAAGCAGTCACTCTCTGTCAGGTATTGCATTGAGCTTCCTGTTGAGCAAAAGGGACGTTGAAAGCCTCTGGCCTCGGCCCAAACCAGCCTCCTCTCCTCCACAATAGGCACTTGTATCTACAGACAAGACAACTGGCCCCTGGCCCCACTATATTCAGAGTGATTCTTTGAAAAATCTTATCATGATAAATTAATTGACTTGGCTCCTCTCTCATCAAGGAAGGGGAAGGAGCGTCTGTTGTAACCTGACCACTGGAGCTCTTTGTGCTATCCATTGCCCATGATCAGCCCCTGATAGGCCCACCGGAATGAAGGTCTGGCTGGAGGCACTGGCTTCCTCCTCCCCTCCTCCACCTGTACTAGGAGAAAGAGTTCTTTTTCAGAGCTGCCTACTCTGCTCCTTAAACAGGAAGTGATGTAAGAAAGCCATATTTGGTCAGATGGGTTTGGCTTTAGGCTCAGTTTTCAATTTTTACCTTCTGATCCTCATGTTTTAAAATTTTATCTGCCTCACTTTATTTATTTAATGATAATTATTTTTCCTGTTTATTTACAGACAACTTCAATGACAACCAGCGCTTCGGATCAAAAAGAGAAGGATAACCACACATTACCACACTGATTGTTCTAAGTTCAGCCCTGTAAAAAAGGAAGCCTAGATTTTATTTAACCTCATAAGATTTAAAATAGCTGGAAAGATTTCTGAAATTCTGAAAATGGTTCTAAAGCTGGCGTGACTACCTTTGGGCTTTCCAGCTTGGGACACACAGGTCTAGGGCTAGGTTTCTAGTGGGAGAGCTCTCCAGCATACACCTTAGAAATGTAGACTTATTTCCTCAAGCTCAGCTGCTGGATCATAGGAACAAATTTTATATCTCTAGCTTGGTTCAGGGGTGTAGGTACACACAAAAGCCTCATGGGCATTACATCAACTGGCACAGAGAAAATGCTCCATAAAAATTTGTTGGATGAAGAAGTAAATGAACAAATGGCGTGTGTTTTTATGAACTTTTTGTGCATCAATCCTCTGAGAGTGAGAAAACGGTTTCACTTGGAGAAAAAGCTATTTATCAGAGGTCCTTTGAAACCTGCAAAGAGCAGGTATAATGATTCCAGAAGCAGTTTACAGTCAGTCTTAACAAGGGTCCCAAATGGAATGGAATTCTAGGAGGGGCCTGAAGCCTGAAGCCCCGCGGGAGTGGCTTCCTGTGAGATCTCTCTGAAGACTTACTTGTGGTGGTTTGTGCAGTGTGCATAAATCCTTAGTTTGTCCCGGATCACTCGGCCTGGCCGTGGCTTCCGTTGGAGCCCGGCCACATGCACAGCCAAGACTTTGGGGCCGATCAGGCGCTTGTAAAGGAGAGAGAGCCAGTAGTCCTGAGGAGAATAGAGAAGTGGAAAGTCAGAGAAAGAAGCATGTTGAGTATCTTGAGTAAACATACCAACACACAGGCCAGAAACCACTTCTTACCAGGGGTACAGTGAATCATGACTAAAGAGACCCTAATCCTGTAAGCCTGTCAACCCAATCAAGTGCTCACCTTGGGTTAATAATGAAATGGGCACAGTCTAAAGTGGCCTTTTCAACTGACCAAATAGGGGAATTTAAGTAGGGTGGACTCAGACGGGCATGAAATACAAATGGATCAAAGTTTTTCACATATGAAATAATAACCTGTCAAGGCCTTACATTTTTGACTTTCTTTTCCTATGACTTTACTTTCATACTGGTTTATGACTTGTGTTTAACTGTAAAATAGATTTCCAATCTTTAGGATTGTCATCAATATAAGAATCCAAATGTCATCCTCCAAATATTGTCACTAAAGACTATTAGTGATGGGAGGGGGATGAAGGTCCTCCAGGCAAGAGACCAGGGTCCTGTATTCCATAGTCAGAAACACAGAAGAAGGTTTCCAAACCATGGTGCTACTTCTTGGTCATCCTCAATAATTCTAAAATAAAAAGAATAATTCTAAACTAAAAGAATGTGATGCTTTTACCATTCTGGCGTCCATTTGTAACTGATTAATAAATATTCAGTCTGTGACCCACACATGTACTTGAACTTACAAAAGCCTATTCACTGCCATCTTAATTTCTGTGGTATTTGCTATTATCATATTTTATTTTTATACTTGATACAAGATATATTATGTATTTGTTTTGCATTTGTTCTTATATCTGATTATGGGGTAATGACTTCAGTGTTTATAATTCTCCATGTAAAAAAGGGCTTCCTAATTTGTTTGGGGGCTTCCTCCCTCCCCCCAATTTTGGAATTCCATAATCATGCCATTCAGTGTGGGCATGCTACTCAAGGTCTTAAAGACATCATGCATGTTTTCTCAGCCTTCATCTTTCCAGGCAGAAACCTTTTAATGATCTTCTTTTTTTTCCCCCTTGTGTGGTCATCTATAACATGAGCTGCTTAAAAATGTCTGTTGAATTGCATAAATCACAACAAAGTCTCAAAGCCCCTTTGCCAGCTGAATAGCTCTAAATCTGCCCTGAGTAGTGAGCTCTAAGCCTTGCCCAGCCACCTACCTTAATTAACTCTAAGTGTCCTCAGAATGGCTGTTAAATATGGTCTCCTAATATTTAAAATGCCAAAAATTTTATCAGCGTCAATCATATAAATGAAAAAATCTCGTTGGTTCAATTTGCTCTTATTCGATGACACCTTCTCTATTTTTGATTTGAAGTAAACTTGGTGAAGTGATTATCACAGTCATTCCTGTTTCCAATGGGATATCCACCTTTTTCTTATTGATCTGTAATACATCTTTTAATATTATTGGTAAGAATCTTTGGAATATATATTGAACAAATATATTCCATCCAAGTCTGTAGTTTACTTGTTATCACCGTTTATGATTTTTTGACATGGAGAATTTAAAAAAAAATTTATAGAAAAAATATCCTTTTTTTCCTTTTGATTTCTTTCACTTCTTTTATTCTTAGAAAGTCCTTCTTCACACACAGATCAGATCAATCTTCACTGATATTTCTTCTAGTTCTTTTTATATAATCATTTAAAAGCTGAACTTCTTAATTCATTGAAAACTATTTAGCTGTATGGTACTAACTATTTTCTAAATTATTGTACAACTAGTTGTAGCATCATACAGTTGATAACCTATTCTTAAACATATCTTTATCACATACCAAATTTTATATATGTATGTAAAAACACATAAATATATACTTTATATTATAACATTATAATATGTAATATAACATATTGTATATTATCAGTTTTACATCATTTTCTTTATTGTAGTTTACATTTTAATATCTAGAGATTCAAGTTCATTTATAATTTTTCCTTCTTTGTTCAAACTTTCTTTAATTAGTCATATCCATTTATTTTTCCAAATGAACTTTGAAATCATGTTTTTGTCGTGTTTGTTGCTGCAGAGAAATTTGAGGCTAGTGTGAATTTTATTCTGTTTGGTTAGCCTGTTTATTTTCTATCTTTTGTATTCTGCCAGAATGCTTATAGAAGTCATGTTTTATCCTTGATATTTGAAGTTTTATCAGAAATGTGTCAACGTGGGTTTCTGCATTAATTTGCTGGTATTTTGGAAGTACTTTCGATCAGAAAGACTAAGGTCTTTTTTTAAGGTGAGAATTTTCTTTAAATATAGTTTTGACTTCTTTTTCTTTCCGTTTGCTCCACTCATTGTTTCAGGAGTCTGGTTGTGAGCCCTCCATCCTGGGGCCTGCACATCTATCATCTCCTTTCTCATCACTTTTCAATCTTTTTGTTTTCCCTCTGCAAAAGGACATCTCAAGTTTGTCCTCTACACTTCCTCCAGGATCATTTCTGTCATTTACTAAGTCCAATGAATATTTTAATTGTTATTACAATTTTCCTTTCCTTGTAATCTTTTCTCATTTAGCTTACCTGATTGCCTGGCACTCATTTAAAAATTGTTTTCCATTTTATGTGTATTATGTATATGTTTTCCATATATATATATATATGACAAATATTTATAACAAATTTTCACATATATATAACTTACATGAGAGTTCTGAAGCATATGAGAACCAGCCACCCACCTGAAAAGCTACCTTAACACCACATGGCAGCATCTAGTTATGTGATTCTTCCCTTTCCCATTTCTGTGTTTTCCATTCCCTTGCTCCATATTTTAGTTTTATCCATACATTTGTTCCTAAGAAATATATTATTAATTTGTTAGCTTTATAAAAGTGGTATCATGCTGAACGTAATTTTCTGTGAGTCACTTTTTTTTCACTTAACATTATGCTTCTAAGATTTATCCAGGTTGTTATCTATACTAACTGTTCATTCATTTTCAATATTGTAGGATACTTTATTGTGTGAACATACTACAGTTTGTTTATCCATTCTTCTGTTGATGGATATTTGGGTTGTGTCCAGATTTTTGCTGTTATGAACAATGTGACTCTGAATATTCTTATTCCTGTTTCCCAAGACACAAGTGAAGAAATCTGGAGAAGAATTGCTCCAACTGTGACTGGAAACCAGCAGCAGCCTCAGCAGCAGCATGCTTCTTAGAAATACACATTCATAGACTTTATCCCAGACCTACTGAATCAGAATCTCCAGGGGTGGGGCTCCCAGATTGTGCGAGTTTCTAAGTGAGTCCGATGTTCATTAAAGTTAGAGAAGCACTGTTCTAGAGTACGTACCTAAGGGTGGAATTGCTGTGTCATACACAAGTAGACAAATATTCCACTTCAGGATACTGCCAAACTGTTTTCCAAAGTGATTTCAATTATTCCAACTTACACTTCCTCTAGCAGCGTCTGCATGAGTTCCCTTTGATCAACATCCTTGCCAACACCTGTTATTTTCTGACTGAATTTTTGCCAATCCGGTGGGCACAAAATGTCTAGTTCTTTTTGTGTGTTGTTTAAGAAGTTCTTCCTCAGGTCCAGTTCATAGATATTTTATTTTCTTTTATAACTTTTGAAGGTTTTTTTTCCCCCTCTAATCATTAAATCTTTAATCAACCTGGAATTGATCTGCTGGTATGGTGTGTGAGGTAGGTATCTAACTTCATATTTTTCCATGTGGATAGTCAGTTCTACCAGCATCATTTACTAAATAGTCTCTTCTTTCTTTGGCGATCTGCAGTGTCCTCTGGGTCCTCTATCAAACTTCCATACGTTCATGGGTTTGTTTCAGGCCTCTCTATTCTGCCCCACTGTGCTTCCTGTATCACTGCTACACCGTTTTAATTACCGTTGTTTTACATATGTCTTGAAATCTGGTAGAGCAACCCCTCCTATCTTATTCTTCAGGAATGGTTTTGCTAATCTTGGGCCTTTGCTCAGGCACAGACATTTCAGAATCAGATTATTAAGTATCTAAACAAAATCTGCTGGGACTTTGGAATTTCACTGAATTTATAGCTCAAATGAGAAGAGTTTACATTTTTATAATATTGAGTCTTCCCATATAAATACAAAAGGCAGTGAGAAGTAAACTCTTTCCAGTCAGGGAAGCTTTTTTCTTTCTTTGCTTCTTTGTTTGTTTGTTTGTTTCTTTCTTTCCTTCTTTCAAAGTTCACAATCTAATTTTTTTTCCATTAAGAAAGTATCCTAGATCTTTCACAATGAAAACAAATCTTGAAAGGAGGAGAAAACAAGGAAATGGCTTCTGTTCAGAGACTGAAATCAGGAAACACTTTATTTTTAGGAGTTTTCTGTTAAGCATTTAGTAGTAAGCATAGCAATAAGGAGAATCTGGTGTTAAGCCCCGAACTTGCTCTGTCGGCAGATTCACTGATTTTCCATTTCTAGAGAAAGCACTTTCAAAGAGCTTCTACCTTATTTTTCTCCTTTTTTTTTTTCTCTGCTCATCCTTCTGGTATTCTATGCAAACTATTTGTGATGATCTCTTTACTTCCATTTCCAAAAGTGTCCATAGATGGACAAAAGCCTTCATTTCCCCATCTTCTACCCCCGCCCCACCCCACCCCACCTCCTGGAATTCAAGGATAGTGTGCCCAGGTCAAGCATGTGATCTAGGCAATAGTTGTGTGTTTCTCAAATGTTGTAGGCAAATGTTTGCTTTTTTAAAAAAAATGTTTGCATTTAGCTCATAGGTATGTTGTTTAAGTGTACATACATTCGTATGTGTGTATGATAACATCGTGTGTATAAGCAATAGGTTGATAAACATGAAACTTAGGATAATGGTCACCTTGCATGGGGCAGGAGGAACTGGGGGAATGGCATAATGGGAGAATGTAAGGTTGATGGGAGTGTCTTAGTTTTGGGGTTGGGTGGTGGAGTCGTCACGGGTGTTGTTACTGTTTTGCTTTCAAAGTAACATATAGGCATAGATAATCTTTTGAACGTGTCAAATAAGATAT